CGGGGACCTGGCCTGCAACCCAGGCATGAGCCCTGACTGGGAACTGAACTGGCGACCCTTTGGTTCATAGGCCAGCACTCAATCCACTGAGCTACACCAGCCAGGGCTGTTCATTATCTTAAATGACTATTGTTATATATAAATCTTTGTGCACATCTGTAATTATTTCTATAGTATGAAATCTAAGAGTAGCATTGATTAGCCAAAGGCATTTTTATAGTTTTTGGTACCTACTGCTTTACCTGACCACCACTGGGCATGAGTGTTTCCAATTCCCCCTGACCTCACAAACTGACTCCCCTCCCCCTCCTCTGTTGGTGGTGGTGATAGTGGTAGGGGTTTTATTTTGCTTTTAATTTGTGGAGAAATGTTCCAGTCCTTATTGTTAGCATCCTTTAGGTACCAAGGGAACAGAAGACTAAGGGCTTCCTTATCTTACTCAGCCAAAGAGAGGACAGCAGAACACGCCTGTTGAGCCACCTGTGTATAATAACTCCTAAAATGTAGGAGGGCCTGGCTCAAGGCCTCTGAATAGAGTTGCAAACACAAATCTTCAATCTTTGCAATTCAGGATCAAGTCCAATGTCTGTTCATCAGGCCTGCTTCAATGCAGATTAGCTGAGTGAATAAAAGACATCTGTGTATTATAGTCAGAACTTCCTCAAAATATAAGGAAAATAATTAAAATTAAGGTGGGATCTGGAATTAGGAACATTTACTACAAAAAAAAACCCCAAAACACAATCATCAGCACCAAAACCATGCCTAGCCTTGTTTTTCTAATGATTTGGCTTTTCCAAATACATGTCTTTTCCCCTCACCAGATAAACAAAGGGAAGATATTTTACATTAACCATATCAGGGGAGAAAGAGACTAACTGCATTATGCTAACACTGACTGCAAACAAATCTAATGCAAGAAGCATCAGATGAGGACGCAAACCTCTGGGGAGCAGATCCAGACAGCACGTCGGTGCCTGGTGCCGTGGAGCTGACAGCCTGCGCCAGCATTTCCATCACAAAAATCCTATAATCCAAGGACGCAGCAAATTGAATAAATGACTAATAATTAAGTTGTTGTCTCTTCCTTATTCCAGGAGAATAATTTAAAAATTAAATCGTACATGTAGATATGAGGGAGTTATGCCACTGGCCACGTTAATCAGTTTGGAATTTACAAAAGATTCCCTACACTCACAATCCATTTTTCTGCCCTTATCTGAATTTCAGTATTTTTTCATCATATTTTTGTATTATTGTGGTTATTTTTGCTTTTTTAAAGAAAACACTCTCTTGTAAGATTTAGAATCATAAATATCAGAGTTAAAAGTATGCTGGAAATAATCTAGTCCAGTGCCTCTAATTTTAAAAATAAAGAAACTGGCCCTGGCCAGTGTGGCTAAGTTGGTTGGAGCACGGTCCTATAAACCAAAAGATCACGGGTTCGACTCCTGGTCAGGGCACATACCGAGGTTGTGGGTTTGGTGTCCAGTCGGGTGTGTATGAAAAAAATGATTAATGTTTCTCTCTCTCATCAGTGTTTTTCTCCTTCTCTCTTTCTCCCTTCCCTTGTCTCTCTAAAATCAATAAGCATGTCCTTGGGTGAGGATAAAAATAAATAAAAAGAAATTGTACCTCAGAGAAGTTATAAATAGCTAAACCCAAGCTATGGAAATAATGACTTAACTCCACCTCCTCTCAAATACTATTATAGCTATGTATTTGTATTATTTATATATAACTGCCTTTTATTAGGGTTACATGAAAGTGTGTCATGTACTGGGCATTTCTCCCTAGGAAGCGAAATGCTCCAGTGTCAATGTATGTTAGGTAAAATCTTATAGAAACAGGAAGCTAAGTTTTTTCATACACTTAGATAAGGTCATTTAGATATCAGAAGACAATACAATGAAATTTTGGAGCAGAATGAATTTTTAAGCATTTTTTAGTACAACCACTTTTAAATGCAAAGTGACCACCAAGACCACGGAGGTCATGGCGTATAAGGCCACCCAATTAGAAGGACAGACACAGCATTTCATAACTGCTGAATCAAGGCTCTTCCCCCCATATCAAGCTGGCTTTTCTATATCATGATCTGGTACAGCATCTGGTATTTTTAATGTATAGAAATCTTAGATGTTATAAAATGTCAGTTCATGACTCTGTGCCCACTATGGTCTCCTCTGCTTTCAGTCACCTTCCAAAGTCTAGTAGGTCCACTGATTTCAGAAGGCAAGACAAAAATACCACAGCCCTTAAGGTAGGTAGGTAGGTAAGGTAGATGAAGTAAGTACTGAACAGGCACATCATCAGAGGGCACAGACCTCCCTGTCACTAATGGTCAGGCGAAACTTGCTCTTATTCACTCCTTTCTGCTGCCTCTGGCCACCTGTCAGAATCCCTCTGGCCAGGCTGCACTGGCTGAGGGCTGGGTTATTCCCAGCTCATCCATCTGAGGGCAAACACCTTTAAACTGGAGGCTCCTGAAATCACATCCCTTGGTGATGTAGCGTCAGCCTCCTCCTCTGTCACTATCTGTGACAGTTCACTTAAGCTATGCCCCTCTTCAGGCCTGAACATGCTCATGGAAAAAATGGCAGCATTCTCTCCAGCCTGACAATGATATGGTCTATGACTTAAGGGATGGTTATTTTCCTGAAGGGGAAGGAGTGGGTGAATTTGGGTGGCCTCTTGATACACTGCATTTGAGTCCTGACTCTTCTTTCTCTCTCTCTTGCCAGCCAGTCAGCCTGGGGGTGTGGAATCACATTTTAGAGTGGGTGGGAGAACATTTGAGTAGAAAGAACTGCACGATCCCCAGACACAACTGGAAGGGCCAGACAGAGACGGGCAAAGATAGAAAAAGCAGAGATGCTCAGGAACATTGATGTGGGAGGAAGGGCTGACTCATTGCCTCCTGTGAGATAAAACACTCTGAAGGCACTGGCTCAATCCTAGATTTTATTCTGCCAGACCAAACGTCAGCAAAGTGGCGTAAATGCTGGATGAAGTGCATCTATAAGTACTCTGCTGCTTCATCATATGCATGTGGGGCAGGTCTGTAACAAAGGTTCACTCCAGCCTACCCAGAGGATGGAGCACACAGCAAAACTATAAAACCTCCTTCTGTATGTTGTCCTGCAGACTAGTCCAAGTTATGGTCTCGGAAGTGAGGCACAGGACTCTGAAGTCACCATCTGGAGCCAGACTCATAAATGCTACTTCCTAGCTGTTACCAAGCTCAGCCAGCCACTGTCTGTGTCCTCATCCCATTACCTTGGTCCCAGCACTCTGCAACTCTACAGTGCACCCTTCACGTTTGCGGTCACCATAAACCTGTGTATTTGTTATGACAGTTTTCTGGCAGGGGACTGTGCAGGTTTTAAAAAAAGGGCAGCAAAAGGATCATGTGGACTAGGGGCAGGGCTGCCCCTCCCAAACCCACACAAAAGCCCCTCACAGCCTAGAGGGGAACATGGAACGCATGCTTCTGTTACCTATGCTCTTAGCAACTAAAATGCGGTGACGTCACCAGAGCTCTAGTCAGGGTCCCTAGATACTGCACTGTTGTTACTAAGATGACAGACAACCTTAAATAAAGAAAAACATCAATAAAATGTGAGACCCTGTAAGAACAAAAGTCACGTTCCAGCAGCAGTCACCTACAGAATATCTGTTAGTTTAGACAACTTTGAGACAGCAGTCAAGGCAATAGCCTCCCTCCCAGGCTCACTGTGGGCTGCCAGAGGGCTCTGGAGAGACTCAGGTTAAGGATAAACTTCCTGGAGGTGGTCACCATACACAAAAAGGCGGACACTCAGTCCAGTGTTCATGCATATGACACCAGTCTGGAGCCCTTCGGAAGGAGCGATGAAGAACTGGATCACTAGTGAGGATCAGAAATGAGTTCCCATCTGTGCTTTGTCTAAATAGGTCACAATGAATGGCTCCTTGTGGCCACAAAATGTTAATGACTTCTCCCCAGTCTCAAAAACTGGACTACATTTTTGATGCTCTTTTAAAAGTAGGGTTTATTAAGATATAATTTACAGAGTAAATGTCATCCTTTTGGTGCATAATTTTATGAGTTGGAAAATTCATGAAATCTGTAACTACCACCATAGTCAGGATATTCAAGTTTCATCACCCCCAAATTCCCTCATACCCCTCTATGATCAATCCCAGACCTGATAGAACTGTACTGTATTTAATACAAAGGTTAACACTTTTTAAACTTCCCCTTAGATATTTACCATATTTCATTCATTGTAAGACACAACCCCACCTTGATTTGAACACTGAAACTAGGACGTGTACCATAATCTGTGGCACTTTACCCTTATTGGTAATCATTTTTCTTCTTAGAGATACATAAAATAATGTGTTTTATCATCTCTGGTGCCCTTTAAAAAAATCAGTGAAGTATATTAAAGTCATAACATTTGAATACTTACTATGGGTTAAGCGTTCTACCAAGCCCTGAAAACACAAAAATGAATCAAATGGTTCTCAAGGAACTATCACTTGAGGGGAAGAGATAAACAATTATGAAATGTAGTAATGTCTACAGTGGAGGGGTATCCGTCACTAGGACTACATGAAATTATCTCTAGATTGGCCACCCTTCTTCTTGAAGGCAAAATCCACCCCCTCATTTGTACCCTTCCGTGTACACAGGAAATAAGGATGAAGGAAGTATCTTTTGGCTTCATTGCTCATTCCAGGAGTGAGTTATTGCCACAGCATCTGACATATCGCCTAGGAACAATCCAATTATTTCTCCCGTAACTCACTGCTGTCGTAGGGAAGTCTCATTTTAGTGTTCAACAGCTGCAAGGCTTTTATGATAATATCAAAAGACAAGTCACTGAAAATAACTGCTTAATCTGTGAAAGGCAGATGCCCCAAATCTTTCAGAGACATGCTTCAAGGTCCCCAAATTCTTCCCTGCACAACTTTTAAAGGGCAACACAGAGAAGACAAGTTAGTGTCCTTACCTGGTTCTTGAAAGTGTTCTTCATTTGATAGAGTCCTGGACAAGATAAGTATTAATGCTTCTTTAAATTGGTCAAAATGCACCTAAAAAAAGCAATTAAAATAAATTCAAAATACTTCCCACAGCCTTAAGGTATAAAATCCATCTATACACAAGGCACCAGCCCAGCTGTTAGCATCCCGAGAGCCTTGAAGTAAGTCACAACCTGCTTTTGTTCCCTCTTCTTCCTCATTTCTCCAAAGCACTAAAGGAAAATGGACTATTTCTGACACCAGTGTCATAAATGCTAATATCAATACTAATATTTATTTAATCCTGAGGGGGAAAGCTATATAGCAAAACCTTCTTTATAAATACAGACAAAGATGAGTTTTGAACTCTTCTTTTATTTTCCTGAACAAGACCAGAAGAAAAAGATGTTAGGTTTAAATATTAGGAAATACTTCCCAGGTAAATGACCCTTGGTAATGATGCCCCAAAGATGCTCTCATCTCTTCAGATACTCTAGAAAGAAGTCATCTTTTGAGGATGACTTGAATACAGTCTTGCCTGTGGCAGGTATATAATATTTATCTCCCGAAGGCCTTTACAACTCTAAAAACAAGCAGAAATCAATAGCAAACACAAAAGATAAAAGGACCTTCGAAAGCATTTTCCTGAATCCTTAAAATCACAGTTACTTTGACCGCAGTAGTAAAGAACTTGAGTTTTATTTAAGTAAATACTGAGAATTGAGATATCACTCTGGTTAAAGGGGTGATATGGTTTTCTGTGTGGCCAAGTATGCTCTTCCAAAACGTAACGTTATGTGATCTCACCACGGGGCAGAAGGGAGAGATGGTATTTCTTCTCACCATCACTCTAGCTCAATATTGTGGCAACTATTTACATAGAAGCCCATATGTAAACACAAAGTTAGTAAATTTGTAATCTGTGCTGTTATGAGTCCCTTTGGATATCATTACAAAACAGTGTGTAGAAGTTTTAAATATAGGTAACAGATTAAAAATTTCAAATTAAAATTGGAAAAGCAACAAACCTCATTAGTTATCTAAACAATGGAAGAAAAATCATACAATGTCTTATCCATGCAAATCAAAGGAGAGGAATCCATTGAGATTCCTGTCATAAAATTGTATATACTTGTAATTTACCAGACTCTCCCAGAGTACATGTGATTTCCCTACCACATTAGTTTTGTTTAATTGGAATGATATTCGAAAAGCATATTTCTTTAGATCCTGCACACTAACAATCAGCATAATCTACAGAGCCAGAGCAGAAATCTGTCAAGGGAGCCAGGGCCACACAATGAATGAAAGGGTTAAAAGACTGTAGAAACTGTAAGCTGTGCTAATTAGGTTTCACAGGTGCCAAATGGCTTTGAAGCCTGGGGAAGGGAGGAGGGGCAGGCTCTGCTGTGTCCCAGAGTCTGAGGTGGGCTTCAGGCACTGCGGCATCCTAGCTCCAGTTCCCAAGGACAAGCGCATCTTCCCAATCAGCCAGTCCATCCACAGACCTCACTTACCCAAGGGCTCCAGCTCAGGAGCACTTCCAGGCACTTCCTACTTCCTGCCAGAATCACGCCTCCCTCTAGGGTGTGGTTGGGGGGGGGAGTAGAAAGGTTAGGACCACAAGCTCTGGTTCTGACCCTGGCTCAGTTACTCACTGCCTGTTGTGAGCTGGCTAAATTACTAAACCTATCAGAGCTTCAGTTTGCTCATCTGTAAAAATGGGAATATCTAACAACAAGTATTTATGATTCACTCATCAAACACTGAGCAGCTGCCATACACCAGGCACTGTCCTAGGCTCTGGTGACACAGCAGTGAATGAGTGACAAAGACCCCTGCTGCCAGGGAGCACAAGTACTCAGGGGAAGTCACAGGGAATCGGGCAGATACTGTGCAAAGAGCATGGCATGTATTTTGTTATTGATAATATATTCCTGATAGCTGAGTTAGGGATAAAATGAGTTTGGTCAAGCATTTAGAGCTTCCTGGGACTTATTAGGTATTTGACAAGTAGAAGTTAACGCTACTAACAGGTACAGTAATTGGGGTGACTGTTTCCACCACTTTTACAGAGAAACAGGGCTACATTCTCAAGCAAAACAACTGGTCATGGGAGTAACCAAGATAATGGAGTGGGGGGGAGAGAGAGAGAGAGAGAGAGAGAGAGTGTGTGTGTGTGTGTGTGTGTGTGTGTTTGGGGGGGCAGGGCAGGGGGGTGGTGACAGCAGGGAAGCCCCAGAGCCTGCCTTGCCCCCAGGGTCTGTGCAGTAGTCCAGCAGCGGAGATAATGGTCCAGGCTGCTGTGTTTAGGGACCTCCAACTGGGTTTCTCCTCTGCCTTTTTCCCCCTTCTTTCTTAAGGTATTAATGGAGATGGCATGAATAAAGCCTAAGTCTCTTGTTGCCACAGTTATGAATTGAACCGAAAGAGGCTCCTGTTTCAAAAAGGCAGGGCTTGCTTGAGACTTTCAAATTCTTTTTTTTTTTCCTAAAGATTTATTTATTTATTTATTTTTAGAGAGGGAAGGGGGAGAGAGGGAGAGAGGGAGAGAGAGAGAGAGAGACAGAGACAGAGACAGAGAAACATCAATGTGCGGTTGCTGGGGGTCATGGCCTGCAACCCAGGCATGTACCCTGGCTGGGAATCAAACCTGCGACACTTTGGTTCACAGCCTGCGCTCAATCCACTGAGCTACAACAGCCAGGGCGAGACTTTCAAATTCTTTCAAGTTGTCTCCAGGGTCTCTGATGGGGCTTGCAAAGACAAAAGTTTTGACAGTGGTAATGAAAGAGCCCTTCCGAACTTTGTCCCAGCAGTTCAATTCAGTGAGTGTTAGCCATGAAAATCACCCAGGGGGCTCTGCACCTCAGTTTTACTCCCCCTGAAAAACGGCAAAAATAGCTATAATCTGGAAGTGAATTCTAATCAGCTCCCAAGGCTTTACTATACCATATTTAAGAGATACTTAGGCTCACACAAACACCCCAATTTCTGGGACAGCAGCACCCTCATTTACATGGAGGTCGCTTATCTCTCAGGCTCAGTCGGGAAATTCGCCAGTGGAGTCCAAAGCTGAGGACAGCGTCACGATGCCCACACAGTCTTCTCATAGAAAATGCCATAGAACCAACTCAGAAGCTCTTCATCTCACTCGACCTGATGTGTTTTAAGTTCCATTATCCTGCTTCCCAACCCACTACAGATTGGAAGCAGTAAATAAAAGACAGGGCAGGGCGCTCCAAGGCAAGTCCAAGAAATAACTATTGACATACTGGGGAGGAGGAGGAGGGACTATCTGCTAACTAACATAAATAAAGTACAAAATTTTGTACTTGAACAAACTATTTTTAAAAACTATATAAATTACATAAAAAAGGCACATGCCCTCAAAAACCTAACAGGCTGAGATTATTTAGTGTTGGAGCAAGGACACATGTGCTGCTAAATAAATCCTGAGGATATTACTCTTATAGAAGAATACGTGATAGACCAAGAAGATTTATATGATCAAGAAAAGCCTCATATTGCTTAATGTACTCTTTGATAGGGTAAGACATAAATTAAAAAAAAAATTAATCCCCAATGGCTAACCTTAAAAAAAAAGTCTGCCACTAACTGAAGAGATCCAGTTATTAGAAAATTGTATAAATGTGGGTCCTGAAGAGTACTAGAGGAATGGGGGGATTAATGTAGGTTTTCTTTCCTGGGCATTGGGTCATTTGGTACTCACAGCATCCATGTGAGATGGTCAAGGCAGGCATCCCTCCTTAGCATTGACGAGAGAGGCTCAGAGAAGGCCCGAGCCTTGCCCGAGGCCACATGTCTTGAGGGGACGGAGTTACTTGAGAACCCAGGTCTTCTAACTGGACACGTTGAAGTGCAGCTACTCTGCCAGCCCCACACTGCTGCATTCCTGGTCTGACCTCTCCAGGAAATCCCTCTGCTGCAAGTCCTCAACCTGACACAAAGCCACTAAGTACAAAGCACTGGTGCTTCGGAGGATATAAGATCAAAAGATACAGCCCTGGCTGGTGTAGCTCAGTGAATTGAGCACGGGCCTGAGAACCAAAGGGTCACTGGTTCAGTTCCCAGTCAGAGCACATGCCTGGGTTGCAGGCCAGTCCCCAGTACAAGGCCTGTGAGAGGCAACCACACATTGATGTTTCTTTCCTTCTCTTTCTCCTTCCCTTCCCTTCTCTCTAAAAATAAATAAATAAAATCTTTCTAAAAAGACATACATAACCTCTGCCCTCAGGGGGTTTACCAGCTACACCCTAGACTCCAGGGTGTGGGAGGGTAGAAAGGGGAAGAAAAGAAGAAAGTTTACTAGTAACTACAAGGAAGAATCTGGTGAGTTCTGAGAGAGACAAAAACAAGCTGGTAGGGGGGCCTCTGACAAAAGAGCAAATCCCACCTGGCCAGCAGGGAGGAAAATAGGGACATTTGACAACATCTGAGTTCTCCAAAATATTCACGGGCAGAGCTTAAAGTTTTCCAAAATGGACTTACAATGTATTAAATTTGCCACATTTTAGAAGGGTCTATAAAATACTAAACATGATTACTAACTCAGAGGTTCTTCATAATCCAACGTCTATCTAGGTGACCCCTTCTACCCCACCAAAAAAAAAAAAAATCTAAAAATGTAAAACCCAAACCTGGCAAACTGATGAAAACCACTGGAGAAGTGGCAGAAGGCAAGATGGGTCAAAGGGGTCAATTATATGGTAACAGATGGAAAATGGACTTTTGGTGGTGAGCATGTTTTAGCATAGAGATAGTGAATTATAATGTTGTACACCTAAAATTTATATAATATTAACCACTGTTACCTCAAGTAAAAAATATTGGAACAGCTTTAATTTTTAAATTGATCTTTATTTTTCTTCTTGCAAGGGTGTTTAGACACTGGACCCTGCACTTTAAACAGCAGTGAATCCCGTATCTTTGAAGAACACAGTTCTCTAAGAGAGGCAGGTGACTGCTACTTTCCATCCATGCTCATGAATACTGATGCGGCAGAAAAGCCCCTTAGGGCACAACCCAGAACCCAAATGTTAATAAATGCC